GTTTTTTTTTTTTTTTTTTTTTTTTTCTTTTTTTTTAACCTGACACGAAATGTTCTTTTATGAAATATTCATAACAAGATCACAGTCTAAATACTAAGTTAATTAAAACGAAAACTATGAACACCACAAAACGTTCATTCAGGTAAAAGGTCATCATGCAATGATTCTCAGAATATAAATTGAAATTTGGCAAAGTAAACTAGTAAGGTATTATTTCGGAAAGAACTTCGAAGGATCTTTTCACAAAGCAAACATCAATCTTTCTCAAAATGCAAAATACGATAAATAATATTTCGCCAAAAAATAGTAAGTAGTTTTTCTTAAAGTGACAAACACCATTTTGCAAACTACGAATTTAAATTCTGTTAACTATCCTGAGGTAAGCACTGAAACACAATCACACCACTGAAAAAAATGTTAATAATTAGTATTCTTCATCAAAACTTACGTTAAACATAAATTTTGTCCTGCGCTTCTTTATTGAAACTACCAGATGTTATCGACTGATTTACTGTCCGAGTGATTCAGAATAACATAAATTCGACAAGGAAATTAATTTCCATTGCAAAAGATAAAATTTTGCGCTTTTAACTGCAATACTGTGCATGTTAGTCAAGGAATTTTAAAGTATCTTAACCTCCACGAAGTTCAGATATTATACGAAAAGAACTTTAAGACCTTTAAATGACACTTGCTTTTCAGGGTCCTGTTGATTCATCGATATGCACCTCAACTCCTTTTATTCTCCTTAAAATTTAGTTATTAATTTCTATTTAGCGAAACCTTTCTTTCATACTACTAGATTTGCAATTAAAATTTACGTCGTTTGAAACTAAAACAAAAAGACACTGAATTGTTGCTAAACAATAAATCGCAGGGATGTTTTAAGTTTATTTCTCTCCTTCAATGAAACTGACAACACCCTAAATTACTTTCCAAGAAAGTTCAGTTCAACAATAATAACAGTACTATTAGCAATTCCGGCATTATCGATATCACACCACAGTAATGTTTTTCTTTAATAAAGTTCTTACTCCTCGTTAAAGTTCGTGCACTTCATTCTAAGCAGCTCCTTGCATGCCTTTCGAAACATCTTATTTCTATAGCAGTATATGATCGGATTGCACAGAGAATTCAGCGATGACAACCAGATGAAAACCGGATGAGACAAAATTATTACGTTCCCAGTATAACTACTACTCTTAGAAAAGGCGAACCAAAGAAAAACATACATAAACAGGGGAAAAAGACATACAAGCAAAGCCATTATAATTATCCTGGTAGTTTTCAGAGCTTTTTTCTCCTTTGCGAAGTCTGCAGCAGCTTGTGGTGAAACTTGTTCACTCTTAATTTGTTTCTCGTGACGACGGGTTACAAAGTAAACCGATAAGTGACAGAAAAGTATTAGCAAAATGTTGAGAAATAAAACCATTACAGCTACGACCGAGGAAATAAATTCCAACTTTTCAGAAAGACTTCGCAGAATAACTGGGCAAAATGCGAACACCCAGGAACTAACAACGGCTATTTTTAAGCGAAGCCCTGTAACAATTGTTATATAACGAAAAGTATACTTCATAGCCACAAATCGTTCAATACTAATTAGTGTCAGATGTAACACGGATGCAAAAATAGGACATAAGACCAGAAGATTGGTCAGCTTGTGGTATCTGCAGTATTCCGACAGAGATATTCCTTTTATGACATAAATCTGCCCCACGATGTAACTTGGCTGTGAAGCGGCTCCTACTAACAGGTCTGTTCCAGCCAAACAGGCCAGCAAAATGTTATAGTTACTTTGCAATCTGGGTCTTGTCTTCACCGCCATTATCACCAGCACATTCATCACGATCGTCACAGGAAAGCTTAGGATGTTCAAGATTGTGGCTGTCATGGCGAAGGCTATTTTTTCCCCCAGGTATTCTTGCTTCCAAACCATCTCGGTCATGGCACATGATGATTCCGCTTTAGATTCAGTTACGTTCATGGCGAGATTTTCAGTGGATGTTTAGCTTGTGGTTCTCTTTCAACACGACACGAAATGTTCTTTATGAAATATGCCTACCTAGCTAGATCACAGTCTATATACGAAATTAATTAGAACGAAAACAATGAACCGTGACCACAAAAAGTTCATTCAGGTACCACGTCATCAAGCGATAATTTAAGTGTGACTGAGTGACATTTCGCAAGGAATTTGGAAGGATTATTTCAAAAAGCAAAGGCAATCTTTCTCAAAAGTGGAAAGTAACAATTCGCCAAGGATCTTAACAAATATATGCATCTTTTAAATTGACAAACACCATTTCGCAAATTACGAGTGAAAAGTTTGTAAGCTATATCTTTGAGGGAAGTACTATTTCCTGGCATGAGTTATAAACGCTGAGGCACAATCAAAACACTGAAACAGATGTTGATGATTATTATTCGGAGCTCTGGTTAAAATATAATTTTCGTTTTGCGCTTGTTCATCAAAAGCGGCAGCTGTCGGCGACTGATTAAAAGTTCGAATGACTTGAGATAAATAACATTAATTAACACAAGGAATTTTCAAATTTTTATTTTCAAATGCAAAAGTAAGCTTACCGCGCTTTCAAATTTAGTACTCTCAGATCATAAATTTTAAAGTAATTTTTTTTAAAGAAAGAACCTTTTACGAAGTTTAGATATGCGTTAAATCTTTCACGCCTTCAAATGGCGCTTGCTTTTCAGTTTGCTGTTGATTCATTGATGAGTAATTGATATGCACTTAATCTTTTTTTTTTTTATTCTCCTTAAAAGTTAGCTATTTTTATTTTAATTCGTATTTAGAGAAACCTTTCATTCATAGTGCAGGATTTGTAATTATATTTACGTCGTCTGATACTGAAAACAAAAAAGCTGAATTGTTGTTAAACACTGAGTATAACTTGCCATATTTTTAAGTTTTTTTCTCTCCTGCAGAGAAACTGACAACACTCTAAATCAATTTCCAGCGAAATTTATTTCGACATTATGTTATTAATATCTTTAATCAAGAGATTATGATCCAGATCATATTCTGTTGCTTTAATATTATCACTTTTGGGATTATCGATATCACACGTCAGTAATTTCCAATAATTAAAAAAGTTCTTACTCCTCGTTAAAGTTGTGCACTTCAATCATTCTAAGCAGCTCCTTACATGTCTTTCGAATCATTTTTTCCTATAGTACTACTAATACTTGAACTAATATTTGTCAGATGTAACAGAGATGCAAAAATAGGAATTAAAAACATCAGATGGGCCGCCTTATGGTATGAGCAGTATTCCGACGGAGACAAACATTTTATAACATAAATCTGCCCAAAAATGTAACTTGGCTGTGAAGCGGCTCCTAGTAACAGGTCTGTTCCAGCCAAACAGGCCAGCAAAATGTTATATTTACTTCACAATTTAGGTCTTGTCTTCACCACCATTATCACCAGCACNCCACAATGTAACTTGGCTGTGAAGCGGCTCCTAGTAACAGGTCTGTTCCAGCCAAACAGGCCAGCAAAATTTTATATTTACTTCACAATTTAGGTCTTGTCTTCACCACCATTATCACCAGCACATTCATCACGATATTCGATCGTCACAGGAATGCTTACGATGTTCAGGATTATTGCTGTCATGGCGAAGGCAATCTTTTCCACCTGGTTCTCTTGCTTCCCAACCATGGGACATATTATAACCAAGGATATTGCTTAAGATACAGTTACGGTCATGGCCCGTTTTTTGAGTGAAAGTTGAGCATGTGGTTCTTATTCAACTCGACAAGAAATGTTCTTTATGAAATATGCCTAACTAGATCACAGTCTATATACAAAATTTATTAGAAGAAAAACAATGAACGTCACTTAAAGTTTATTCAGATACCACGTCATCAAGCAATATTTCACGAAGTATAAAGTGACATTTCGCAAAGAATCTCGAAGGATAATTTCACAAAGCAAAACGCAATTTTTCTCGAAAGTGGAAAGTAACACTTCGTGAAAAAATCTTAACAAATATATGAATCTGTTAACGTGACAAACAGTCTTTTGCAAATTGCGAATCAGAATTTTGTAAGTTATATTGAAATACATTTCTTGATTGATAAGATTGAGACACAATTAAAACACTGAGACCGGCCAATGTTGATAATTATTATTCGTAATTGGACCTCTCGTTAAAATATAGTGTTTGTCTTGCGCTTGTCTCTAGATAGCAGCAGCTGATTAAAAGTTTGAGTGACTCCAGATGACTGAAATTCGACAAGGAATTTCATTTCAAATGCAAAAGAAAACATATTGTAATTTAAAACGTAGTGCTGCTAGTCGAGACATTTTTTCAGTAACTCATTTAAAGGACGAACCTTTACAAAGTTTAGATTGCGTGGAAACTTTGACGCCTTCAAATGGCAATTGTATTTCGCTTTGGTGTCATTGATGGGTTATTGATATGCCTGTTATCTTTTTTTTATTCTCCTAAAAATTTCGTTATTTTTATTTTTATTCAAGTTAGCAAAACCTTTCTTTTATAGTACAGGATTTGCAATTAAAATTAACGTGGTCTGAAACAAAAACAAAACAAAACTGAATGGTTGCTAAACAGTAACTCGCCATGTTTTTAAGTATGTTTCTCTTCTGCAAAGAAACTGACATACACTCCAGTAAATCAATTTCTATGGAAGTTTATCTCAACACAATGTTTAAAAATTTTTGTATCACCAACTATATCAGTAACTCCGGGATTAGCGATATCACACGCCAATGTATAGTTTTACTAAGTTCTTATCCCTCCTTAAAGCTTCCGCTCTTCATTCTAAGCAGGTCCTTGCATGTCTTTCGAAACATCTTTTTTCTGTAGCTAGCTAGCAGTATAGATTGGATTGTACAGAAAATTGAGGAACGATAACGCTACGAAACGGGATGAGACAAAACTATTACGTTCACAGTGTAATTACTACCCTTAGAAAAGACGTTCAAAAACAAAATATGCATAAACAGGGGGTAGAGACATACATTCAAAGCCATTCCAATTATCCTGGTGGTTTCCAGAGCTTTCTTCTCCTTTGGGAAGTCTGCAACAGCTTGTGGTGAAACTTGTTCACATTTGATTTGTTTCTCGTGACGACGGGTTGCAAAGTGAACCGATCGATAAACGACAGAAAAGTATCAACGAAAAGTTGAAAAATGTAAACAATGAAATTGCGATATTGGTTATGATTTCAAACTCCTCAGAAAGGTTTTCAAGAACAGCTGGGCAGCATGCGATGACCCAGGAACTAACAACGGCTGTTTTTAAACGAAGTCCTGTAACAATTGTCATATAACGAAAAGTATACTTCATGGCTACAAACCGTTCGATACTAATAAGTGTAAGATGCAACAGAGATGCAAAAATAGGAATAAATAACATTAGATGGGTCGCCTTGTGGTATCGGCAGTATTCCGACAGAGATAAAACTTTTATGACATATTTATTCTGCAATCTGGGTCTTGTCTTTACCGTCATTATCACCAGCACATTCATCACGATCGTCACAGGAAAGCTTAGTCTGTTTACGATTATTGCTGTCATGGCGAAGGCAATCTTTTCCACCTGGTGCTCATGTTTCCAAACCATCTCGTTCGTGGGACATAGTATAACCAAAGATCCAGCTTTAGATTCAGTTTCGTTCATGGCGAGTTTTTCCGTCGATGTTTCGCTTGCAGTACTTTTTCAACACGACACGAAATGTTCTTTTTGAAATATACGTAACAAGATCACAGTCTAAATACTAAATTAATTAGAACGAATGCAATGAACACCACAAAAAGTTCATTAAGGTACCACGTCATTAACCAACATTTTACGAAGTATGAAGTGATATTTCGCAAAGTAAAGTGAACTAACTTTTCGGAGAGAACCTCGAAGGATTATTTCAAAAAACAAAAGACACTGTTTCTAAAAGTGGGAAGAACATTTCGCCAAAAATCTTAGCAAATATATCTATCTGTTTAAGTTACAAACACCATTTCCCAAATTACGACTTAAAATTCTGTGAGCTATATTAGGGAGGCGTGGTGGCCTCATGGTTAGTGCGCTCGTCTCGGGATCGAGCGGTCCGGGTTCGAGCCCTGGCCGGGGACATTGTGTTGTGTTCTTGGGCAAGACACTTTACTATCACAGTGCCTCTCTCCACCCAGGTGTATAAATGAGAACCGACGAAATAAATGCTGGGGGTAACCCTGAGATGGACTAGCATCCCATCCAGGGGGGAGTAGAAATACTCCTAGTCGCTTCATGCTACAGAAACCGGGATGAGCTCCGGCCTGATGGGCCACTTGGCTCGTATGCAGACTTTACCTTTACCTATATTGAAGTACCATTTCTTGAGTGATAAAGGTTGAGACACAATCAAAACTCTGAAAGAAATGTTGACAATTATTATTCGTAATCGAAACTCTCGGTAAAATACAGTTTTTGTTTTGTGGCTTGTTCATACTGAACTGAAGCGGCAGCTGTCAGTGACTGATTAAAAATCCGAGTGACAAAGGATAAATGAAATTTAATTTCAAATGCAAGAGAAAACAAATATTTTGCTTTAAAAGGTAGTACTACTAGTTGATAAATTTTAAAGTATCTTTTTATAAGAAGGAACCGCAACGAAGTTCAAATCTTAAACGTAAAATCTTCGACACCTTCAAATGACACTTGCTTTTCCGTTTCCTGTTGATTTGTTTGTATGCACGTCATCTTGCTTCAGTATTTTTACCAAAATTTCACGAAACCTTTCTTTCACAGCGCAGGATTTGCAATTTTAAAATTTACGTCGTCTGGCAAAACTGAATTGTGGCTATAAACTTTAACTGGCCTTGCATGTCGTTCGAATCATCTTACTTCCGTTATTTCTTTAGCAGTATGTATGATCGGATTGCACCGTACAGAGAACTGATTGACAAGTCACGAAAACGGGCTGAGAGGCAAAAACTATTACATTCACAATGTGTCAATACGCCCTTAGAAATCAACATAAAACTAATCAGGGGAAATTAAAAATACTTTTAATTTAGTTTTCAGAGCTTTCTCTCTTTGCAAAGACTGCAGCACCTGGAGTGAAACTGTTGTTTACATTTGATTTGTTTCTCATGACTGATGAATGAGAGGAGAGGAAAGTATTAGAATTAAGAAGAAATCCGATTAAAAATCGAGCAATTTCAGTTTTTAGTGGACAAAAATATGGTACCAGAATAATTTTAAGTATTTTACAGTCCTTTTTACATTTTCTTAAAGCTATAGATATAAATG